CGGGGCAGCACGCGTGTGGCATACGTTGGGTGCGCTGTCCGTCGGCCAGAGTCGTGTCCGCATGCACAGGCGCTGCCGCCCTGCCGCACCTGCTTCAGCTGCTGCTGCGCTTTCTTCTCCGCCGCCTTGAGCGCCTTCTGGTTGGCGTCCAAAGTCTTCTGCTGCTTCACCTGCAGGCGTGCGGGCAGCGGCGGCGGGCAGGCGGCGGGGCGGGTGAGGGAGGCGAGCGGGCACACCCCCTGGCGCATCCTGCGCTGCCCGCCAGAACAGGGTCCCGCCCCTGAGCCAAGCCCCAGGCTCCCCTCCAGCCACAGCGGCCTCCCCCACCCCGGCCCCACGCGCCTGGTGCTTGCGGCGGCTGTCGTAATATGTGCGCGCGTTGGCGTGGGCGCTCAGCCCCAGATCCACCTCCACCTGCAGGTGCGGGTGCGCTTGCGTGTGTGTTTGCTTGTGTGTGTGTATGTATGTATGTGTGTGTGTGTGTGTGTGTGGTGGTGGCGGCGGTCGCCTGGGGGAGGCGCACACGCACGAAGGGGGCAGTGGCGCTGTGGCCCAGGCTGCCGCCCGCTGCAGGCAGCCCAGCCGGGTGCGCCCCACCTTTGTGGCCGGCCGGGTGGCCGCCTCCTCGTCGCCATCCTCCTCATCCAGCCAGTTGCTGCGGGGAGGGAGGGGGAGGCCAGGGGGCACACGCGCGTGTCGAGCTGCACCCGCCTGCCACCCCTCCTGGCAGTGGCCTCGCTCCGCGCTCGCCGCTCCCGCGCGCCGCCGCCGCTGCCCTCCTCCACCCCGCCAAGCACCCTCCCCTCACGCCCCCTGCCACTCCCCCTCCCCCCCAGGCACACACACGCGCGCGCCTGAGCAGCAGCGTGACGCGGCTGCGCTCCAGCTGCAGCGAGTCGATCAGCCCCGCCACCGGGTTGCCCGCGCGCCGCTCCTCCTTCACCATGCGCGCCAGGTCTCGCCAGTCCATGCCGCTGGCCAGCGCCTCGCGCACCGCGTTCAGCGCCGCATCCACCGCCTCCAGGTTGTACTCAATCAGGGCGGCCTGCGGGCGCGGCGGTGGGGTGCTCGTGTGTGGTGTGTGGAAGTGTGTGGGGGTGAGGTGGTCGAGGGGTACTGGGTGTGTGAGGTGGAGGGGTAGCGGAGGGATGGCGGGAGCGGGCGATGCGCTGGAGGGTGCAGGCGCGCAGCGGCACGATGCGCGAGTCGGCAGGGGCTCGGCGGCCTGGCGATGCACAGGCTGCGGCGCCCTGCCCTGCCCAGCCCTGGGCCCCCTCCACCCGCTCCCGACCTTGAGCTCCGCCGCCTCCGCCTCCTGGCCCAGGCTGCCCAGCCGCTTCTCGTGGTCGCGCCGGATCGCCTCCAGCTTGCCCACCGCCGCCTTCTCCTTGGCCGCCTGCTGGTGGGCACTGCGCTGGCCCTGGATCTGCGGCGGCGGCGGCCAGGGGGGAAGGTGGGGAGGGGCGTGCTGGGGATGGCAGCGGGGCATGGTGCACGCGTGTGGCACGCCGGCAAACAATATCGGCAGGTGCACAGCATCCCACAGCTGCGCCCGCACGGGGTGCCCCCGTCCCCGCACAGTG